TCTGCAAAAAAACCCCAACCCCTCCCCAGTCTCTATCCTCGTTACAGTTTAGTTTCTCCACTCTTTTCTGCACTGGTCTGAAGTCAATATATCTAATGCGACTGCAGATTTGTGTTGGGTATGGGATTTTTTTTTACACTTTAATCCATAGTTGGGGGAAAAAAAAGCTATTTGAAACCTGTGGCTACTCGAGGGAACACAAATATTATTTCTTGGCACTAGAAATAACCTTGCGAGGTTGTTCATGCTGGTAGATCAGGCTGTGTGGATTTTTCAGACTAATGTTTAGATGCAAATGGAGAGAATATTCACTGCTGCTGGATTGGTGGAAGGGAAGAAGAGGGGTGCAGTGATTACAGGCACTCATTTAGGATTTTTGGAAGCTCCAGGTTGAATTCCGTGACACAACTTCCCAATGTGAGTGTGGAAGAAGCAAATGTCCTTGTGACCCAGTCCCTCGTCATGAAATATGGCAAACAGAGCACGCCTTTGTTCTGTAAATCTTCCTAAATAAAACTTTAAGGCACGTGGTGCCTGTGTTGAACGCTGTGAAACGTTGGGAAGGGGAGCACATTGCTGCCTCACCACTGGCAATGAAATGGTTATTAGAACCGTGATTACCCACCATTGCTGGGGAGGAGGACAGAGTGGGAGGTAATTAGCAGATAAAAAGTACAGTGCAAATGTCCACAAGCTCTGTTTTCCTTTGCTTCTGTGTTAGCTTCCTACCCAGGGAGATTTTCTTACAAGGTATTTTCTTTTGAAAGGACTAAACACCTTCTGTTTCAGTATTTCTGAGCCTAATGAACTCTAAGCAGACAGGTGCCGGCATCGGCCGGGCTCCCTAACGAGCACAAAGTCATCCTGCTCCCTTCGTAGCTGCCTCGTTAACCATCATCCAGCCTTTTTCGCGTGCTGCTGGGTCTCCCCTCCCACCTCGGAGGAACTCTGTTGTAGCATCACGCCCGTCAGCATGCGCGAAGAGCAGCGCTGGGCTTAATGAAAACTCAAAGAGGCGTCTTCCCACTCCAGTGCTGGGTGAGATGACGCTGTGAAAAGCAATTATTTGGCTGGGGGAAGCTTCTGAATCGCACGTTTTGTTAATGAAGCGCTGCAGGTCTCCTTTCTTGGGCCGTTTCCTTAAATGTTTCGCCCTGGTTTCGAAGAGTAGAAGGCTCTTGCATCCTTCCTTCCACCTGTGGATCTCGAAGCACTTCCCAAAGAGGCAGCCACCACGATCACTAGTTGAAAGTCAGAAAATGACGTGATTTGGGAAGGTGGCGATGGCTTACTAAGGAATTTATTTATTATTTATTCTCATAATGCAAAAAAACCCAACAACCCATAGGCATCAGGTTTAAAACAAACAAAAAGAAGCATTTTTTAAACACAAGCTCAGTGGCAAATTCACATCTTCAAACTCCTGTTGCCTGCTGGTTTAGACCTCTCCAGAAGCAAATCCCATCCCCTGCGTTTACTTAAGCGGAGTCAGCAATTATTTAAATTGAAAAAGTCACTGTGGTCGGTGAGGGAAGAAAGTTTCTTGCGGGATTTTCCCATTTTACTTCTGCAATGTCTTCAGCAAATTCCTGGGGCTGTCAAGAGGTCCATCAGCTCTGTCAAGCAGGGCTCTGCCAAGCAGAGACTAACAAGCTAACCCCGACTTGACTCTTCTTCAGCAAATCTAAAAGCCCTAAATGTCGCCGCCTGCCCTCGAGCCTGTCATCTGGGCAAAAAACTGAGCAAGTTTGAGAAAAAGCCACTTTGCAAGGTTGATAATCCTCTCCCTTTGCAGTGGCCTGTCTGAAAGGAAAGCAGCTTCATGCAAAAATGACTTTTTTATTATCCCGGCCTCATTTCACCAAAGATGGTCAAGGCCAACGGGACGGGAGAGTGCGTGTGACTATAAGAGGCAATTTCTTCTCTTTGCTGGAGAGAGCAGTGATTTACAAACCGAAGCCTGAATCTCTGCAAGATGCTTGGGCATAATTGCCGTTATCTGGAAAAGATGTGTCTGCTTGATAGTGGTGACAGCATATTATACGAGTTAACCAAATCCTTTCGTAGCTATAGCGCTCCTTTTAGAGTATCTTGCTGTTTGTGCTCAAGTTTCCCAGGGCAGCTGAAATAATTTGGGAGTGATTGCAGATTTCCTAGAAGATTCTTGCACCTGGGATCTCACAGACCGCCCATACTTGTATCATAGATTTTACAGTTGGGGATAAAGCTCAGAATTAAAGAAAAAATACTGAGGTTATGCTTATACTGTGATGGGAGACTTGAAGTTCAAATATTAGGAGAAATTGTAATGCCGCTGAAGCTGTTAGTAAAGTTCA